CCTGGCCCCTTCCTCACGGCTCGGTCCCCTACAGCCCGTTCCCAGGGTGTTGGAGAAGACTTCATACTCTCCATGGCCACAGGCTCTGCAGTGGGGGTCTCCATGAGGCAGACAGGGCCACTTCCCTGGCCATCAGATCCCCACTGTGGATGTTGCTGGGCATGGGAGAAGGTGCACCGAGGGTCTGGCTGGGCACCTTTCTCCCTCCTCCCTCTCCCATCTGGGTCCCTCCTGTCCCCTCCAGGTATCTGTCTCAGCGTGGTACCCCTCTACCTGGGAGAAATCGCCCCTAAGAACTTGCGAGGTTTCCTGGGCCTCATGCCCAGCATCTTCATCTGCCTGGGGGTTTTCTTTGCGCAGGTCCTGGGCCTCCCAGAGCTGCTGGGTGAGGTGAGCACTGTACTCCAGCCTACGTGTACTGGACCCTGCTCTGCCCTCCCTGTGACATGTCCCATTTCAACTCCTCTCAGGACAGGTTCTGGCCATTTTTCCTATCAGCGGTGGTTGTTCCCGCCTCCCTCCAGCTCCTGCTGCTGCACTGCTTCCCTGAGAGCCCACGGTACCTGCTGATAGAGAGGAATGATGTCTGCGGGGCCACCAAGGGTGAGGGGATGTTCTGGGGGAGACTGGCTGCAGGAGGTGCTGGGCTCTGGTCCAAGGTCTCCTGAGACCAAGATGCATCCTCACAGCATCCTTCCACAGCCAGACCTGAGAGCCCACTATAGTCCTTATGGTTCAGCCCTTCTGTCCCACCCAGTTGCGCTATAACATTTCCATGGTGTCCATCACCACAGCGTGAGGCATCTCCTTGGTTCCTATGGATGCTCAGCCCCACGGGTCAGGGAGGTCTCCTGAGTAGGCTGAGCTAGGGCAAAGCCAAGCCTCTGCCCCTGCCCTGTGCCGTACCTATGAGCATCCACCCTGTGATGGGGAGATGCCTGTGACCTCCGCTCTCCCCACAGCTCTGTGCCAGTTCCTGGGGACACCCGATGTTCAGGATGTGATCGAGGAGATGAAGGAGGAGCAGCGGTTGCTCTCTTCTGTGGAGATGGTCTCTGTCTGGCAGCTGCTGCGGGACCGCTCTGTGCGCTGGCAAACCCTCTCGGTGGTGGTGGTGAATGCCGGCATGCAGCTCTCGGGGATCGATGCTGTAAGCCCTGCGAGGTTCCCACCCCCGGACCTGGCTCTGCAGAGGCTGAGCTGAGACCCGGCAACTCATTTCATCCAGTGCCCCATGGCTCTGTCCCCCCAGCTCACTCTAAGTCCCCTCCTCGGCAGATCTGGTTTTACACCAACACCATCTTTGAGAACGCTGGGATCCCTGCATCCCAGATCCCCTACACCACCGTGGGCACCGGCACCATTGAAGTTGTTGCTGGGCTGATTGGGGTGAGTGGTGGACGGAGAGATGGATGCAGTCCCTTGGTGCCAGAGCCTTGTCACCAGCTCCCAGCATCATTAAATGGAGGGGGCCTGGATGGACCCCAAATGCCATCTGTGCCAGAGCACAGCCCCTTTGCTGGGGGGCAGAGGTTTTGGCAGGAAAATTGGGTGGACAGATGGGATGTGGGGGGCCTAATTTGTGGGGTCACATCTAGGAGGGGTGGGAGAATTTGGTGTAAGTGGGTAGCTGGGAGGTTGGGGGGAGACACCAGGCAAGGAGCAGGTAGGGGGTGATGGAGAGGCCTAAGCAGTTCCTTCTGGCTTCTAATTTCATTGTCACTCCGTTAGCAGAGCCACATGTCCCCACCTGCCCCCCCAGCTAAGCACCAGCCTGGCCCCAGGCTAGCAGCCCCGGCCCCCCCAGCCAGGCCTCATTTAGCTGGAGAGTTAGCACTGGGCCAGGCAGATTTATGGCCCTCGTCCTATCTGCGAGTGTCACCCGGGGCCAGCCCCAGACACCCTGCACTAAATCTACTCCCTGACAATTAGAGAGATAGATGGGGGTGGCTGCTCCCAGAAAATCGGGGCTGAGTGGGGGGCTGCTCCTCTCTCCCCATAGGCAGAGTGGGGCCCCCGAGTCATCCCCCTGCCCCTCTGAAGGGTGTCCCCTTCTCCCCTGCCCTGGCCGTGGGGCTGCCCCAGCCCCCCCAGCAGCCGCCCAGCGTGCAGCCAGATTGCTCGGGAGCAGCCCCGCAAACGGCCCCCGACGGACATGCCGAGATTGGTTATAAAATTACAGGCATTTGTTCTGCTGTCAATACCCTGCCTGCTCCAGCCGCCGCCGCCCCGCCTGCCCGCACCCTCCTCTGCTGCCCGCTGCCCTGCAAACATCCGTGCCCAGCCCAGCACCTCCGCTCGGCACCAGTGTGAATGCGGCTGTGGGGCCGCCCTGCACCCTAATGGGACTCTGTGGGACCCCTGCTGCTGCTGATGCACACTCACCCTGGGACCCCAGAGTCCTGGCTCTTCCTGTGCCCCAGCCCCAGCCATGGAGCAATGAGCTGAGGCTGTCCCCAATCCTCAGATGCCACCAAGAACATCCTCCTACCTTCAGCTAGATCTGGGGATCAGCAGGTGCCCCTGCTCAGGGCAGGAGCTCCCCACCACCCCATCAGTCTATGGTCTCCCTTGGCAGTGCTTCACCATCGAGAAGCTGGGCCGGCGACCGCTCATCATCACTGGCTTCTGCACCATGGGCATCTGCTCGGCTGGCATCACCGTCTCCCTGCTGCTGCAGGTAAGGTCTGGCCACTGCCCCCCCCCTGGGCCACTGACACGGTCACCCCCCTGGGCCACTGACACGGCTGGAGCTGGAGCCCTGGGTGCATTAACAGGGCCGGGTGATGAAGGGATGGGTATCACCCCAGGGGAGGGAGCATGTATGGAAATGAGAGGTGAGTTGGCTCTTCCAAGTAATGTTTTCCCTTCAAAGTTAAAGGGAAGGAAACTTCAGAGCAAAGAACAACAAAAAAGGAAACCCAAATCCACGTGAGAAAAATCCTGCTGCTTCTGGTAGCTTTGCTGCAGAAATAGTCCCCAAGGAGGCGGCTGTGAAATGCCAGGGGAGGTGCAGAGGTCTGCAGGGTCCTTCCTCTGCTGCCTGCTCCCGAGGGATGCTCCCGCAGCTCTGGGCACATCTCAGCATCACGAGCTGCTGAGCTTTGCCAAGGCTGACCCTCACCAGCTTTGTCCCCAACAACCCATTGCTTGTTTGCAACTCCCCTATGTGTCCTGCATGGCCACCGTCCCCAAGGGCTGCTGCTGAGCTGAGGGGCAGGCGTGAAGCCCTGTCCTGGGGTTGGTGGCCGTGAAGCTCAGGGCCACCACCCTGGCAGCATCCCCCTGTGTCCCCTCGCAGACCGCCCTGCCCTGGATGCGCTACGTCGGTGTCGCCTGCGTGGTTGGCATCATCACTGGCTTCTGCATAGGACCAGGTGGGGCTGGGGCCGGCGGGAGCGGGGGGCGGTGGGGCAGGAATGGGGTCCCCAGGGGAGAGCAGGGCACAGCAGGGTTTGCAGGCAGACAGCAGGACCAGCCTCTTGGCCTCTTCCCCGTGGCCAGGCCCTGGTTTAACATGCTGCACCCCACCAGCAAGACCCCGCCACAAGCCCCTCCAGCTCCATATGTCCCCAGGGCACGCTCCACCTCCCCCTCCTTGTCCCTGCTGCTAGGCCAAGTGGTGAGAAAGCCCTGGCAACCTTCCCCAGACCTCTCTGGAGGTGTCA